TTAATGAAATGCGCTTACGCAGTTTATCTAAGTGCATGTTCCGAAACTGAAACCCCGTCATTAATTAGTGAGTGAAACAATTTAAAGGGCTCAGTAAAATCCTCTCCTAAGCTCCAGTGAAGCACATCTGAGTGACTGCAGGTGCAAGGATATGGCCTTACCCCAGGGACAACATAGTGGAGCAGTACAGGAGACACTTGAGAAGAAACACAGATGCATGGTCCCACCAAGACGGGCTTTTAACAGATTAGGGAGCTCTACCCAGTCCAAAGAACACAGAAGGGGGGACACAACCTACTAATCTCCTTGTGCACTCGCAACAAATGTGAGGCTCCATTTGGCATCCTCAAATAAATTAATTTGAAAAAAACATTGGGATTACCAGACAGATTAAACCTCCCTGGCAATCCCACCACTGGATTGGGCCCCTTGAAGAGGCTGTCAAGGTAATGCAGGAGCCTACTTGCCAGGATGCCACACAACTATGGGTCACACTGATGCTAGGGACAGTCACACCAAAATATGGTGACTTCCAGCCTTGCACAGGTGGAAGCAGCCCTGAAACACCCAGTGTTGCCTTGCCTGGCATCGCTGTAGCCTGACTTGGGTATTCCTAGGCAAATCTGCAAAGCTGGAGCTTCACTAATGGTGCCTTCAAGGCAGCAGCCGGGGTCCTGGCTAGCAAGAAGCAAAGGCAATCAAAGGCTCTGAAGCAGCAATCAGATGCCTTCCAAATTGAGCAGACGTGAGAAGTGAATTTTCAACTTCAGATCGATCCAGCAGCCAAGGTCAGTTAGAGGGAAGTCAAGTTCCTGGAGCAGCCACTGTTGTGAGTCATAATAGAAATAAGTTGTAATAGTCTCCAGCTGGCGTGGAGCTCCAGCTGCCACTGACCCACTTAGTGCTAACACTTGGCTGCAGGAAACTTCCACTTCGTTTTCTGTGTTAGGGAAACCAGACCATGGCACTGAAGCTGCTTTCAGGCTTCACCAAGGTTTTACCTTCTTCTTTACCTCCTTCAGAGGCAGAGCTCTGCGCACTGGGCCCTAGGAGAGGCAAATGAGGAGCAGACAGGTCTTCATCTATCCACCACAGGTGGTGGCAGGAGGCTTGCTGGTTGTGACAGCCCAAGCTTCAATGGGCACTTACTTATCTTGAGATAGGGAGAATTCTCTTCTGGACGTGCCCATTTTTCTCCCATGACTTTTGACAGAGTTTTGGCCCTCATCCATGGTGACAAGGAAACCATCACCACCTACCACAGTAGGGCATGGTGGGACCATGGGCAGGATTCTCACGGAGCTTTTTGCCATGCTCATCTCATCAACCCCCTCCAATTACCCATGGAAACAGACTTTCGCCATGGGCCAAGTCCCATTGATCCCAAAGCACCTGCTTTTGCATTTCTTGTTTCCTCCTCAACCCCGGGAGGAATGGGGTTTGCAGGCAGGTACTCCTGTTGCATGCCCCAGGGCTCCTGGCATGTTGTCAGCATAGCTCCAGGCACCCTGCTCTAATCCCATCTTATTTATGGCACCTACACCCTGGCTTATTCCAGCCATCATCGCCTGAAATGCTGCAATTTAGATTCCGACTGTGTCCGATTGCAAACTCTCCCAATCCACAAATTTCAGTGACAAGCATTAGAGCAGCTCATTTACATGCCAAAGTGATCAATCTGGAACTGCTTGTTGCACTAGCGAATAAATAAATAAGGGATACATTAAAGGACGGGGAACAATCAGCTAAATTAACCAATAGATGTCAAGTAATGACAAGCTCTGACATCCATAGCGGAGAAGAGGAGGAGGAGGGATGGGACAGGCTTTCCCAGCATTGCCCAGGGCTGCTCAGCACTCGTCTCTCCGCTCTCATCCCATGAGCCAGCACGGATGTGCTAGAACGTGAAATCCTGGCTTTAAAACCTATCCTTCCCCGTCGTACCTGCTCTGAGGAGCATCAGTATATCTCCAATAAAGAAAAGACTTTTCCAACAATTTGGATTTTTTTTGGAATTTTTTCCAACAAAACAGGCTTGGCAATTGGGGTAACCTTTAGGGGCTGGATGCTTTAAACTTGAGCTGTTTCTGTAACCTGCACCATACTTCGATGTGGCATCGGTGGCCACTGGGACCCCCGGAAGGTCCCTCCACCCACGGAGAAGGGAGAGGAGCTTTGATGGGCAGGTGACACCAAGCGTGGCTGAGACAGCACTGCCACCTCGTGGCATGCGAGCCCTTTGCTTGTGCCACGCATCCACAGGGTCACTGTGTCTTTTGGTCACCTCCCTGCTCCTAGAGATGCTCTGTGGGGATTTTTGAAAACATTTTATTTCTTGCTTTTTAGTGTAGATAAGGACCCTATAGAAGTTCTAGCTTGGAGAGGGACTGGACAGAGACATGTAGGAAGAGGAAAGGATATCCTGGAGTTTCAGATGTCCAAGCTGCAAGAGGAGGAGGAGAAGGGCTCAGGAGTGGGGAGAGAAAAGCCTGGCTTGAAAACAGCATCCTCCAAAGTCAAGTAAATCAGACGAAGCATCACTCAAGAGTCTCAAGGACCTGGAAGCAGCATTATCAGGCACAACACAACTTCCATGAGAAGCTGGAAATCTATGGCCAGCTCCCTGAAATTCAGCATTTAAATGGCATGAAGGGGACACACGGGGCATGGAGATGCTGGCATACAAACATCCATCAACCCCGGATGAAATGATGGAGCAGGCTCATTTGGGCTGTACATTAGCAAAGGGCAATAGGGCAGAAATACAATTACTGTCCAAAACCGTTCTTTTGTGGAAGGTAGGTCTTTTCAAACTAACCTGTCATCTTTTCTTGACACGATTACTGGTCTAGTTGATAAAGGAACTGTGTTGACAGAATAAAATTGCATTTCTTCTGGGCATCTGATTTATTACTGGGTGACATTTTGATTAAAAATGGGTATTATATTGCATTAGGAGGGCATGTATTCAATGAATTAAAGACCATCTCACTGACAGATCTCCAAAGCTAAGTATTACTGGAGATAGACTGATGAGCTAAGTTTTGTCTGACGACAAAAACCCACTCCTTTCTGCTGTGACAGGGCCACTTTGACCTGTATTGGTGTCATTGTGGTCTCCTTTTCTGGGAGAGCTTTAGGTTCAATGAGAGTCCCTTGGCTTGTTGGTGCAAGGCATGATTTTTGGGGGGTTTTGCAGCTCTGAGTCAGGTCACACATAGCTAATGCTGGTTTGAGGACACAGTCGCACTCCCTTCAGGGGGACCTTGTGGGCAAACCTGTGGACGAGGAGACCACCACCATATCCCACGAGGTCCTGATGAACCACTGAGGCACCCAGGTATCTGCTGGACCTTTCATGATGCTCTTCACAAAGAGCATGGTGAAAGATGCCAAAGAAGATGCTTAATCACATGTAGGTCTCTGATGCCACCATGGCGAGGGATGAAGCCAGGAGAGGGAGGGGGAGCTCGCAGAAGAACGCTGACAGCAGCAGAAGTGACAAGCAGAGGTGACAGAGGAGAGGCTGGATATTGCAGATAGCCCCGCTCCGCTCATCATCCTGCCAGCAAGCTGTCAAGGGAGGCTCCGGGGGAGCCCAATCCACCCAAGTGGAGCATCCCTTGGATGGTACTGCCACCTAGTGCCCACATCACCTGTCACCTCCAGCCATGGCAGAGCCATCTGCATCCCAGCATCTCCAGCATGTTTGTGCTTCTCTGTGTCCATTACATGTCCCTGGTCCAGCCAGAGGGGAGAGGAGAAGAGCAGAGGCGGGTGACACAGTCTCCCAGGCTGGGTTGGAGATGCAATGGAAGAAGAGACTCCCAAAGAGGGTCCCTTTGCTTGGCTTTTTTTTCCCTCCAAACAAGGATGAAAATGTTCCTTGTAGTGGATCCAAAGGGGTGAGTGGTCAAACGGAAAGTGGGGCTGGCTGGGAGCCCCTTGGGGTTGCACACACCAAGGTCTGCTCCGTCTTGCCTGCAGCCCTCTGCACCCAGAGCCTGTGCGAGGGCAAGGTCGTGTCTACCCTGGAGGACAGCGGGCTGCATGGGACCCTCTTCCGTAGGGACCTGCATGAGGCTGAGCATTTCTGCTGAACAAGCCATTCCCCAGCTATGTCCGGCAGCGCCAGGACTTGAGCGTGGGTCCAGCACCAAAAGGGGAACCGTGCAAAGAAGTGAAACTCGGCACTTCTCTTCCCCGGTCAGGCAAACTGCCGTGCACGCAAGGGCATCCCCCCACCCTGCTCCTCTTCCTCCCCAATTCCGGCAAAGTGCTGAAAGAAAATAGAGCTGCCTGCTCAGACTGCTCTGTCCTCAGGCTGACAAGAAGGTAAGTCACCTTAAAGGGCCACGGCAAGTCCCACTCCAGTCCTGGCCCCTTCTTTCTCCCCCAGGAAGAAGGAGGGAAGACGATGTGGGAGTAAAATCCATCCCCTCTTCATGGCATGGCTGTGGGCACCTCTGGGCTCTGCAGGGCTGAGCGCTGTGGGCTTTGGGGCAGCTCTGGGCTCTCGGCAGGTCCCTCATCTCTCCCAGGTCTGAATTCCTGTCTCTGCCTTGCGCTGGCTCTGCAGGGCCTGGGCTCTCCCGGGGTGGTGGGATGGTCCTGGGGGCTCCCCTCCTGTCTGGGTTGCTCCTGCACGTTTTCTTTGATGTCCCAGGGCTTGAGCTTTCTCTGAAAGCAGCTCTTGGTGCTGCCTGGGTGCCAAGGGCTAGAGAAACATCCCTGGGGAAGCAAATTTCCACTGCAGCTCTTTAAATCATTGGGCACAGAGAAGGATATGGCAAGAGTTGGTGCAAGGGCAAAGTCTTTGGTTGCTCTTTTTCTCACCCAAGCCTGATAGACTTTGAGACGAGATACACTTAGGTCTAACGCTTGTCTCTGCAATGCAGGGATTTGGTCAGAGGTGTGTGCGTGTGTGTTGGTCCATGCATGTGCGTTTTGTGTCTCCATCCCCAACCCTGCCTGTTCTTGTGTTTGCAGGGAGAGGCAGGATGCGGCTCAAGTTCTGGCTGGTGGCTGGGGTGCTGTTGGCAGCGCTGGGCACGGCCTGGCTGCAGGAGAGTGTGTGTCGGGCACCGGATGGCAAGGACGGCCTCCCCGGGGTGCCTGGCCTTAACGGGAGGCCAGGGCAGAAAGGTGACATGGGAGAGCCAGGTAAGGGCGTGCTGGGAACCGCTGGCCTCCTGGCAGGAGCATCATGGGCTTTTGGAGCAGATCTCTTGGGATGCCAGATGTGCCAGCCATGTTACCAACTGAGCTTCTTCATTGCCTCTCCCCAGGGAAACCATCACGAAGAACTGGCATCCGTGGGCTCAAAGGGGATGAAGGTGAGCCAGGGATTCCTGGGAGTCCAGGAAATCAAGGCTACCTTGGTCCAAGTGGACCCCCTGGGCTCCCAGGTGAGCCAGGGCCGAAGGGGGCCAAGGGCAAGGCTGGCAACATCAAGGAGCAACCGCGTCCAGCTTTCTCGGCCTCGAGGAATTCCCCCCCACGCCGGGGCAACACTGTAGTGTTCGACAACATCATCACCAACGAGGAAAACTCCTACAGTGCCCAGACCGGGGAGTTCACTTGCAGAGTCCCCGGCCTCTACTACTTCGCCTACCAGGTCATCTCCAGCGGAGACCTCTGCCTGAGCATCACCAAGAACAGGGAGAGCATGGTCAGCTTCTGCGACAACAACGCCCGCGGCATCCTGCAAGTGAACTCGGGCAGCAGTGTGCTCAGCCTGGCTGCGGGCGACCGGGTCTCGGTGACCACCGACCCGCTGAAGGGCAACACGGTTTACAGCGGCTCCGAGGCCGACAGTGTCTTCAGTGGCTTCATGCTCTTCCCACAAATGGGCTGATGGACCATCAGCTCCCCGCTGCCCTGGTTGGACCTGTTCTGCTTAGCACTGGAGTATCTTCGTGCATGTGGGTGCATGTTCTCATGCTCCACAGGTGCATGCAGTGGCTTTACATTGTGCCTCCTGGGGCTGTCCCAGCCCAGGGGACAGCCAGGAACTCTGCTGCTGCCCCAAGACTTTGCTTCCATCAGCATCACGAGGTAACCAGGCTGCAGGTGACCACCGACTCAGTGAGACCTTGGCCTCCAGGCTGTGCGGAGGCTGCCTTTCTGCTGGAGCTGGTCAGGGGGACTCTTGGCTCCGGCAGCCCTTTTGGCTCCTGCAGCTCGGGATCCCATGCCAGAGGGGATCAGTTGTCACCAGGGCCCTTCCCCAGCTGCGACTCTTTGCTCCTGAGCGGGAAGACACCACATACCACCGCTTTTGCTGTGCTAACCATTGCAAAGGCCTTTCTGGCACGAGGCCACCACTGCCTTTCACGTATTTCCTGCCAGCACAAATAAACCCCTTCTTTCCTCACAGATGCTTGGTTTTTCTTTCCTATTCACACACCTTCCCCAGACATCCTGGCCACTTCCCAAGACTGGCAGCAGTGAGCTGAGAACACCAGTAGAGCCAGCACCTATGGGGAGGAGAAGAGGAGATCTCCAAGACTAGCCTAGATGTGGTTTTCCCCAGTGAAACCAAGATAGCTGCCCTGTGCAGGAGTGAACGCAGGTAGCAGAACATAGACTTCACCCACATGGTCCTTTCTTGGCCACCCAGTCATGGGAAATACAGTTATAGTCCTCCAGTGTGTTGCCAATGGGGTGCAAGGGGATCCGGGTGGCTGGTGATCTATAAGGGCTCTTCTCCTTCCAGCTCAGAGTGAGATCAGTGGATACCCCAGGAGAAGGCTAAAAACCCTGGAGGAGAAACACCGTTTGGTCACCTCCTCATCCCCCATCAATCCGAAATCCCCCATCCAGGCTGACCTTGTCTAGGTCTCGCACCAGCCCTTCTCCTTGCATCCAGAGCTGGTGCCAAGGTCTGTTCTCACCTTGCTCCCTGCTCTTCCCTTGGAAAAAGAGGTATGGAAGGGGTTGAGGAATGCAGACAGACCAGAAAGTGCTTGCTCAGAGGAAGCACTCGGGCAGAAGGATGTGAAACTTGGGTGGGATCCAGCTGCCCAAGGGCCATCTCCCAGCTCGGAACCTTCCTGCAAAAGGGTGTTGCAGAGGCAGCAGGGCTCGGAGGCAGCGCTCGCAGCACCGGAGCTCTTGACCTTGCAGGACCCTGTGCCCCGTGTCCTCCTCCCGTCCAAGGTAAGAGATATAGAGGGGTGCATCAGCCTGGGGTGAGCAGCATAGGGAGAGGGGGACAAACAGCACAATGCAGAGCTGCGAGGTGGGAGAGGAGGAGGCACTGCTGGGCACCCTGGCTGCACGTCTGCCGGCAGGATGACCTGTTCTCCAGGGACAGATCCAGTGCTGGGAGATCCCTAGCGGACAGGGACTTGCAAGAAGGACCATGAGCAATGTCAGAAGGGTGAGACCATTGACGTTCGGGAAGCAAATGCTCCCCAAGCACCTCTCTGCAGCAGGGTGCATCTCATCAGGAAGCCACTGGACCAGGGGAGGTTCGGAGCGTGGAGATCTCCAGGTGACCCTGGTTCTCTGAACCTTGTTACCTGGCTGCCCCGGGCACCCTGTTGCATGGTGCTTCACT